TTCATTGCTTATATTTGAATGTTAACTAAATATCATTGAGTGTATTGTTGCTCTTATTTTTGTGTTTTTTTGGCAAAACTTGCTAACCTATTATAGTATATGTTTTGTTAAGGCCAACATTCTTGAACTGAGATGAGATTCGAACCTATGACATCCTCTTTGATTTTTTTGGCTTATTTTTGTGGTTCTTATTGTTAAATTATTGCAATTCTTTAACGGTTTCATGCATACATGAACCGCTAATGATCATTTGTACAAACCCAGTTGAGTTAGAGTGTTCAATTCTGATCGATTCTCCGTTTTTCGATTCCAAATTTTCACTCTTAAATTTGACAATGTCTAATGCAACTAATAGTATAAAGAATTCTTTTTTTTTACTAAATTGAGGGGCAATTCCATATTTTATCCCAAAAATTCTACTGGCCTTGAAATCAAACTGCTTGATAAACCTTTGCTGGCTCTCTAGTGAATTCCAGAAATTTTATGTCTGGTTCAAACGAGTTGGACATTGAAACTTTGAGAAAACTTTGAGATGTTGGAGTTAAATAGCATTCTGAAAGTACTTTGTAGTAACCCCAGGAAGAAGTTGAATGGGAGAATGTCAGGAGAAACCATTGCCATGCCTTACCTTATTATTTTATCTGCACTTCCAAAATTGCCCATAAATATCTTCATCAGCATTGACAGATGGCCTTTTTGGAGTTTCCATTGGGCAGCTCTTTCTCTCTCTTCCTCTTTATCAATTCCATATGTAGATTAAAATAAAGTTCCTAATGACCCCAGGCCCCACAAGCAACCATTCTACCCAATTACAACACAACAGCTCTCACCCTCCCTCAATGACTCTATGCTTTCTTCCACTTTAGATCTCTCCTTAGTGCCCTGCACACCACAGACCCTTTCAATATATAGATTCACCCATTTATGACTGCCTTCAACTTTGGGTTTTCTCTTTAAATCTCAATTCATGCACTTTTTACTCAGATCTCTAGTTTGCTTCCTATCTTCAGTACATATGATGGCTGCTTGTGAAAGCAATGGGAAATGGACAAGGGAAGAGAACAAGAGGTTTGAGGATGCCCTTGCCTTGTTTGACAAAGAAACCCCAGACAGGTGGTACAATGTGGCATCCATGATACCTGGAAAAACAGTCAATGATGTCATGAGACAGTATAGAGAATTGGTTTCTGATATCATTGATATAGAGTCAGGCCTTGTTCCAGTGCCTGAAGAGTATGCAGCAGCCAATTCTTTTACATTGGAGTGGGTGGAAGATGACTACCAGGGGTATTATGGTCATCATGCCCACAGGCAATTCTTTGGTCCAGGTGGGAAGAGGAGTAGCAGCTCAAGCCGCTCTTCTGACCATGACAGGAAAAAGGGAGTGCCTTGGACTGAGGAAGAACACAGGTAGTTTGACTAACTCTTCTAATTTGATGAATTATGTTCTCACAGTTAGGATTGAGCTGCTCTTCTTTTTATGAGGTTGACTTGTAAATGGAATCATAAGTCTATAAGTGTGAATATTGATTTACTTGATCTGATCCTGATTATTTGGACTGATCTTAGGAGTGTTTGACTAATGTAAATGTTTTCAGAATGGCTCTCAAAATTCTATTTCAACTAAAGGACTTTAGGACGACTTTAAGAACATTGCAAAACACTTTTTCCCAAATTTTGGGAGGATTTTAGGGACTTTTAGGATGACTTGATCGTATTGAAACAATAGCTATAACTTTAATGGATTGCAAATCATCAATTGTTGGTTTGTATAAGGTCACCGGCTTAAACAACCCGAAGCCAACACTTGGGGTGTACCCCCTCAAGGCGAACACCGAACACCGAGTGCCTCTTTGAGGAGTAAGGACATACTGCTATGGATTAAAAGCAGTTTTCTCAACAAAATTTACCAAAATAGTATTTTGTTCAGAAAAGTACATTACTTACTTTAAACCATAAAATAAAATACTACGCGTTGCGTTTTGGGTTTCTTCTCAAAAGGTCAAACTAGACAAAGATCCCTTATAAATGAGTTTGTATCTTTAAATTTGGTTGGCCAACAAAGACTTAAGGTAAAACATGCTTTGTCACCAAACCACTAATGTCTCATTCTTGGCCTGATAGATTCTTATTATTTCCACAATTGTGTCTTACCATTCAATACCTAGACTCCTACAGTATGTATTGTTAAGCCATCTTGAACCTATCAGCTATGTATATACTCCACGGTTTAATGCGTAACTGTTCTGTTTTGGCAACATTTCTTCAGGCAATTTCTGCTGGGGCTGAAGAAGTATGGTAAAGGAGATTGGCGAAATATATCTCGCAATTTCGTGACGACAAGAACTCCAACTCAAGTTGCTAGTCATGCTCAGAAGTACTTCATCAGGCAGCTTTCAGGAGGGAAAGACAGAAGGAGATCAAGCATACATGACATAACCACAGTCAACCTGTCAGAAACCAAGTCCACTACTTCCACAGACAACAATAGTTCTCCAGACAACAAACCTGCTCAAGTAATTAATCACCTGGAACTGCCTTTAAATGGAACTATTAATAATCTAAAAGCTACTGATGAGGCGTTTGACCTGTCAAACCAAGGATTGGGAACGACACTTTATTCGCAATGTGGCGACTTGATTGTTGCACCTTTCGAAGGAGCTTCCTGGTATGGACTAAACCTGCATGAACAAACTATGGACCTGATATGATGATGATGGAATCTGTCATTTTTTTCATCCTACCACAATTTGGGTAGGAAATTCTTGTATCTGCAACTTAGTTTGTGTGTAGCTTTTACTGTTCTTTTTTAATAGCTTTTCGGCGGTCCATATATAGATGGGACCTGTGGAACATGCTGAACTTGGACAGAAGGAGACACACCTGATGTCCAATGTTGAAAAATTTTCAGCAATTCCAGGTTATTTGCGATCAGAAGCTGTGTTATGTGTTGTTTTTTTTGCTGTAAATGAAACTCATAAATAATCAAGTTTCTTTTTTTTGGTTCTTAATTACATTTTTACTATTTTTTAGATTGTTTGAGATGTATTTTGAAAGGATTGATTAATGCAACAACAACAACATCCAAGCCTTATTCCCAAAAGGATTGATTAATGCAAGTTGCATAATTTTATTTTTGAAACGAAATGAAACTACTTAGGATGCCCTGAAAAGGAATGTGTGATCAACATTTGGGACATATGAAGTGTATATTGCCCTGAAACGTACTACATTTCTTCAAATAATACTACTCCGTATTATGCTTCTCTTTCAAAACTAACAGCTATTTAGTGCAAGAAAAGAAAGGTTTTGTTAATCACAACCTTAGAACTGTGTTTAAGCATTAAAGAGAGAGAGAGAAGAAATATATATACTCCGTATTTTTTAGTGAATTAGCTAAATGAGTATACTTTTTGTTTAGCATTCCAACAACAATTACTCCTAACCGAGATGATCATTAATCTTTTAAACGGTGAATATATCCTAACAGTTACATAGCTTATTCTATTTTCATGATTTCTTTAAACACATCACTAAGGCTAGAGTTATGTTTAGGGGGCATTTCCCAGAAGAATATTAGACTGGATATGTACGGGAAGTAACATTTGCTATTGTTATGTTTAGCATTTCCCAGTAGCATTTCCCAGAAGAGTTATCTTTAAACCCATTCTTTGCGAGAATGTGCTAAACTGCTAGAGTCATCTTTGCAACCATTTAGGTGACGGGTAGTGTTTTTGGGAAGGATTCACCTATACAATTTGTTTATGAAATGAAAATAAAATCTGATATTCATTCGTCCATCAAAATTTTCATATTATGAGGTATCTGAGTTTCAGTAATGTGTGTGACCTCTCTTTGATAGAGAAAAAAAATGTGTTCTGAATCCACGAGAAAATTCAGACATGTACACATAATTATAAAAAGGATAATGAAACATTTAGTTGAAACATAAGCAATCTGATTATCTTTTTCTAAGATAAACACACAAAGTTATAGTCTTGTTTTCTACTCCGTATAAAATTCCACGCATTACATCAAAATCGATCAGAACATACACTGATTTTTTCATACATTCAAAGTAATACTGAAATATTTTTTGTAGCATATACTATATAGTTTTATCTTTAGTTTGAAACGAACAAAAGAAAAGGTGAAGGTTCACAACTGATGAAATAATGGTATATGAATGGGAAAAATTGCAAAAAAGCCTGGCAGTGGGATTGAAGGAAAAATTCTTCGGGATCATCATCGAGATGAAGTGGTAATGAATGGCAATAGAAGGAGATTGAAATGATATGTTTCATTTCTTCTCAATGCTGAAGCCCAGGTAGATGGAGGGAATGAGATATGTAATAAGAGTTGTTAATGAGAAGGGCAAATCAAAATGTTGGGGGGTTTGGTGGTCAATAAACCTGGTAATGTATACCTTAGATAACTAAAAGCGAAGAAGTATTAGAATGGAGCCATTTATATAACTTAGATAACTAAAGGCAAAAAAGTGTTAAAGTTGAGCCATTTGTAATGTGAGTCGGATAATGTGTATTTAAGTTATACGAAGAGTTTATTAGTTTGAACAACTACGTAGGGTGGACATCGGTTTACGGTTCGGTTTTAATCAGTTTCAATTCGATTCAATTTGGTTCAGTTCGATCTAGTTCGGTGTGGTTTGGTTTAGAATTCTTATTTTTTAATAATATATGAAGGTTTTGTTGAATTTCTTTAGGGAAAAAATGAAATTCATTAGCTCAATTCGGTTTTGTTAAGATTTTATTGATTTCGGTTCATTTCGGTTTAATACGATTTGGAAGAAATACGATCAAATTCAAATCTATTTGTGTGAAAGACATTAGAATATACTTTAAAATATTCTTCTATCCTTAGAATATACTTTAGAATATTTTAGGAATATACTCTAGGATATTATTATTGTATAGAATCTTATAGGAATATTCTATCTTTGTAATGTATATTTATAGGGACTTAACCCTCCAATGAAATACACAGAAAATCTTTCCTCCTCTCTTCAATATTATATTTTGTAGTTTATATTTCAACATGGTATCAAAGCCTTCCATTTCAGTTTAGTTTTTCAGATTTCAGTTCTTTATTCAGGCTGATTTCAGTTCAGTATTCAGGCTGGGTTCTTTCTCCAAGAACTTGAGTTAACTTCAGAACCTTACACACCATTTTCAGAACCTTACACACCATTCTGCCTACACAACCTCTACACACCATTAAACAGAACCTCTGTCCAGACCAACACCGTCCTATTTCTCACCTCCGTCCTAACCAATTGCACTTGCCGCCGCCGACCACGTCTTTGGAGTCGCCACTATCATTAGCTGGTAAGTCAGAAACCCAGACCTCGCCAACCATCTATTGAGCTGCGGCTGGTAAGTCTTAATTAGCTGTATTTATTTATTTATTCTCAAAAAAAAAAAAAAGAAAAAAAAAATAAAAAAAAAATCAAATCAAAAAAAAAAATCAAAAAAAAAAAATGTCTTTTACGGGTCCATTTGGCAGAGGAGTAATATGCCATTACTGCAAGAAGCCCGGGCACTTGCTCAAAGAATGTAGAAAGTTGCTGTTCAAAAATCAAGGAAATCAGCTTGCTCATGTTGCTTCCGCTACGAGTTCATTTGATGGATCAATTGCCATTTCTTCAGACGAGTATGCTAAATTTATTTGCTACCAAGAATCTCTAAAGCATTCATCTACCCCTATCTCGGTAGTCGCAAATTCAGGTATTTCAAACACATGTCTTGTTTCATCATCCTCAAAATGGGTCATTGACTCAGGTGCCACAGATCATATGACTGGTAATCCTAGTCTATTCTCATCATTTCACTCACATTTACCTGTTTCCAGTGTCACTTTAGCAGACGGGTCTACCTCACCCGTTCTTGGATCTGGTACTGTTGTACCAACTTCTACATTACCATTATCGTCTGTTTTGAGTCTTCCTAATTTTGCATTTAATCTGCTTTCCATCAGTAAAATCACACGTACTCTTAATTGTTCTGTAACATTTTTCCGGGATATTGTGTGTTTCAGGATCTGTTAATGAAGCATACTATTGGTCAAGGACATGAGTCGGGTGGTCTTTATATTTTGGATACATCAATTACAAAAGGTATCTCTTGCCTTGGGGTTGGAAATCTATTAGAAGCTCATTACCGATTAGGACATCCATCTCTCTCACTAATGAAGCAATTATATCGTCAGTTTAATAAGGTGTCTTCTATACAATGTGAGTCGTGTGAGTTTGCTAAACATCATCGCACTAGTTTAAGTCCCCGACTTAATAAACGAGCAAATGCTCCGTTTGATCTTGTCCATACTGATGTTTGGGGGGCATGTCCAGTTGTGTCCAAACCTGGTTTCAAATATTTTGTCACTTTTGTTGACGATTATTCTCGTATGACATGGGTGTATTTTATGAAGCGCCGATCCGAGTTATTTACTCATTTCTCTGCATTTTGTGCTGAAATTAAAACTCAATTTAATGTTCCTGTTCGTGTGTTAAGGGGAGACAATGCCCAAGAATATTTATCTGCTCCATTTAAATCTTTTATGCTTCAACATGGCATTATTCATCAAACTTCATGCGTAGACACACCTCCTCAAAATGGAGTTGCTGAAAGAAAGAATCGACATTTGTTAGAAACTGCAAGGGCTCTTCTATTCCAAATGAATGTGCCTAAACAGTTTTGGGCTGACGCTGTGTCTACTTCATGTTTTTTGATCAATCGTATGTCATCTTCTGTTTTGGATGGTAAAACTCCTTATCAATGTCTTTTTCCAAATAAAGAACTTTTTCCTATTCCACCTAAAATATTTGGTTGCACTTGTTTTGTTAGAGATGTTAACCCTCATCGGACGAAATTGGACCCCAAGTCATTGAAATGTATTTTCTTGGGTTATTCTCGAGTTCAAAAGGGGTATAGATGTTTTTGTCCAAGTACAGGTCGATATCTTATTTCTATTGATGTCTCATTTCATGAAAATACACCATTTTCATCATCCAAGACAGATATTCATGAGGACACCGATGAAATACTCATTTACACAGTTACTATACCTGAGACCACACCTTCAGTAACTATGTCGAATGTCACTGTTCCTGACCCTAGACCTCCTGTACACTTGGTTTACACCCGTCGACACAAAGCACAAGATCACTCCCCACCTGTGACACCTGTGATTACATATCCTGATACTGGTCCGACTTCGATCTCATGTCCTGAACCAGTACCTGCATCTTCAGATCTTGTCTCTACATCTGATCTTGACCTCCCGATAGCACTACGTAAAGGTACATGGTCTTGTACTCATCCTATTTCCTCATTTGTGTCATACAGTCAGTTATCTCCTGCCTCATGTTCTTTTGTTGCTTCCATTGATTCTATTTCTGTTCCCAAATCTGTTAAAGAAGCTTTGGCTCATCCTGAATGGCGTCATGCCATGGTAGAGGAAATGAATGCTTTGGATCTTAATGGTACTTGGGATTTGGTATACTTGCCTTCATGGAAGAAGTCTATTGGATGTAAGTGGGTCTTTGCTGTTAAGGTTAATCCAGATGGATCTGTTGCTCGATTGAAAGCTCGATTGGTTGCAAAGGGTTATGCTCAAACCTATGGTGTTGATTATTCTGACACTTTTTCTCCTGTTGCTAAATTAACATCTGTCAGGTTACTTATCTCACTCGCTGCAACTCATGATTGGCACTTACACCAGTTGGACATTAAAAATGCATTCTTACATGGTGACCTTCAGGAGGAAGTTTATATGGAGCAACCTCCGGGATTTGTTGCTCAGGGGGAGTATGGGAAAGTTTGTCGACTTCGCAAATCTCTTTATGGTCTGAAACAGAGTCCTCGTGCATGGTTTGGGAAATTCAGTCAATCCATTGAACGGTTTGGAATGATAAAAGGTCAATCAGATCACTCTGTCTTTTGCAGAAAAACGAAAGCAGGTATCACATTGCTTGTGGTGTATGTCGATGATATTGTGATTACAGGAAGTGATACCGCAGGTATTTTGGCCCTTAAGAATTTTCTTCATAGCCAATTCCAAACAAAAGACCTAGGCTCATTGAAATACTTTCTGGGTATTGAGGTAACACGGAGTAAGAAAGGCATATTTCTATCTCAGCGTAAATATGTACTTGATTTACTAACTGAAACAGGGAAATTGGGAGCAAAGCCAAACACAACTCCCATGGTTCCCAATGTGCAACTCACTTCAGAAGGCATACCTTTCGAAGACCCAGAAAGGTACAGAAGATTGGTTGGAAAGCTTAACTATCTCGCAGTCACTCGTCCAGACATTGCTTACTCTGTGAGCGTAGTGAGTCAATATATGTCATCTCCAACAGTTGATCATTGGAATGCAGTAGAGCATATATTATGTTACTTGAAGGGGACACCAGGACGAGGTATTGTTTACCAAAATCATGATCACATGAGAATAGAATGCTTTGCAGATGCTGATTGGGCTGGATCTAAAGATGATAGGAGATCCACATCTGGCTATTGCGTCTTTGTTGGTGGTAATCTCGTCTTTTGGAAAAGTAAGAAGCAAAATGTGGTTTCTCGTTCGAGTGCTGAATCAGAATATCGGGCTATGGCACAATCGGCATGTGAGATAATCTGGATAAACCATTTGCTGAGTGAAATCGGATTGAAGACACCAATGCCCGCTAAACTCTGGTGTGATAACCAAGCTGCTATACACATTGCCAACAACCCAGTGTTTCATGAGAGAACAAAACATATTGAGGTCGATTGTCACTTTGTTCGAGAAAAGATACAACAGGGATTGATCTCTACAGGATATGTGAAGACTGGAGAGCAACTTGGAGATTTGTTCACTAAAGCATTAAATGGAATTCGTGTTGGTTATTTATGTAACAAGTTGGGCATGATAAATATCTATGCTCCAACTTGAGGGGGAGTGTGAAAGACATTAGAATATACTTTAGAATATACTTTAGAATATTCTTCTATCCTTAGAATATACTTTAGAATATTTTAGGAATATACTCTAAGATATTATTATTGTATAGAATCTTATAGGAATATTCTATCTTTGTAATGTATATTTATAGGGACTTAACCCTCCAATGAAATACACAGAAAATCTTTCCTCCTCTCTTCAATATTATATTTTGTAGTTTATATTTCAACAATTTGAATATAAGATTCCGCTTTGTTCAACCAAAACAATATAAGAAATTCGATATCGGTTCGGTTTAGTTCAATTTGATAAGATTCGGCTTTGTTCAACCAAAACAATATATCCACCCTACTACTACTACGAATGCATTATACGGAGTACTATTATCTTACTATATACGTAGTACTAGTATACAAAAAGGTATAGAAAAAAGGGGCAATTTTTTCATACGATAACATAGGTAAAAAGTATGAGACCGGTCATTTGAGCAGCATCTACGGTAAACAATAGTGCAAATCATTTAACGAACAATTATCACATTACATCGAAAGTGACAAAATTATCGAGCTGAGCCTGAAGGTGATCGGCCAAATGCTTTTCAAATTGTAAAACAAGCCGTTTTGATTTCCAATGAAAATCTATATACTCAAATATTGCACATTCTATTTATAGAACATTGAGTGCATTGCTCTAATCAAGTTTGACAATCTCTTCCTTACACATTTCGAAAAGCTCATATGATTATTTAGACTTCATTTGGTAACATTGTTTTTCGGCTTATCAGGCTTATCAGAGAAGAGAAGAGAAGAGAAGAGGATCAATTTTGCTTATTAGAAAAGTTATCACGCAGAAAAATTGATTCTCTTCTCTTCTCTGATTATTGATTACTGTATATCCGGTAATTATCACCGCACTTCCGCCAAAATTAATTCTCTTCTCATTCACTTTAGGAATTTATTTATAGTTTTTAATTTTTAATTTTTTAGATTTAATAATTTTATTATTTTACACCTAATTAAATATATTGCATTTCATGATAGCATTACTGCTCTGTATTACTGAACTAATGATCGTAATCACTGCATTTGCCATCAATACATTCATTTACTGCCCGTATACAACACTATTTATTGTCATGTTCGTAGTCCATATTCAAGACTATGTATTGCAATGTGCATTGCCCATACTCAATGTCCAAATTGAACACATACGGTAGACAGATCACATCAGAGTAATTACCAAAAAATCAATCCAATTAACTGTATTGGTCACAAATCACAACAAGGTTAAACCTAAGAAGCAGAATTGATAAATATCGGGAGATAGAAAAAAGAAGAAAAGATTATACTAGTATTATTGCTCGTTTTAATCTACGTGAGATTTTACACACATAAAACAATGCCTCCTTATTATCTTCCCAAAGGCTGCCGTCAAATCAATGAGCGTGGCTGAGGAGACAGTGTGTGGTGAACCTATGGCGGTGATTAGCAAGAAAAAAATGTGCTTTTTCATAGAAGGCTATGTAGCGAGGGATTTCAGAAACGGCTAAATTCTCTTCACGGCCAAAAAGATCGATCCCATCCTGAGGTGACCTGAGACGGCGGCAGGAGGCTGAGCGGCGGGCCCAGTGGCGGACACAAAGGGGGGCTATGGGGGGCAGCCGCCCCTCCGGGAAAAAATATTTCTAGGTATATTTACCCCGAAATTTTTAATACATATGTATTTGTATGTATATTCTTTTACTGCCGCCCCTGCTATTGGGAAATCCTGCGTCCGCCGCTGGGCGGGCCATGGGGCGGCGGCGGCGGTAGGGGGCGTGCGGCTGCTGGCGGGGTGGAGTGGAGGTGGGAGAGTGGAGGCTAGGGTTGGAGAAAAGTGTAGGAGTTTAGGGTTTTATAGATATAACCTAAAGAGTGTATTTGTCCACCTATATTGTTTATTTATTTATTACGAATTTTAATAAAATATGATGATTTTTAATATTATTTTGGTAAAAAAACTAGTTAGATCATAGATTGGAAAAGTGGAGAAGTTTTAATCATATGTAGGGTAACTATCTCTAGATAATAATCCACAATGAAGAGGCATAATTTTCAATTGACTCGTACTAATTTTGTTTAAACTTTAACATTAATCCCACATTCAATTTCTGTTTTAACCATTTTACATTTTGTCGGATCCATGCCATGAGACACTTGAAAAGCTTGGAAACTACTAGTCCAAGCTGTTTTCAGAAGCTGCTTGTACTTGTAATTGGATTACTCACGGCGGTTTTCAGAAGCTACTAATAAAACAGCATTTTAGGATTTTTTTTTAGCTTGAATTGAACATGTTATTGTTCTTTTTTATTTTACATTTCCATTTCTCATTAAACGTAAACAATATCACAAACACCAAGCTCGATATCCTTTTGGAATTATTTGATTGAGTGCACATAAGTATGAAATGCTTTTTTGAAAAAATTGCATAAAGGAAATGGGAGTTAATTTACATAGTTAAAAATATCTTGGTGATCAATAACTACCAAACATACAAGGCTGCAACATATACTAACATGCATGCTAGCTATTATTGTAAACTATATCTCCACTTAGGGAGGGCCCAAGTCCAGATATTTTCCTAAACTTGATCAGTTGATTGTACATATGTTCAAACATTTTACGATATACGAAATACACAAAAGGTGATCGATAAAAAATTGCGTGTTAATATATAATGGACCATAAATATCCTTAAAGATAGAGAACCACATAGACCTTTACATGTAAATACTTCAAATAAATACGTAGTAAGTACGTGTACATTAAAATAGGCTAAAGGATCAAATAGACCCTTGCACCGGTCGTGTAAGCTCAATTGAGTCACTGAGCTAAAAAAAGGCCCAATTCACATCCCGAATCGGCAAAAAAGGGGTTCAAATTTCATTTTTTAAGGTTAAACAACAGGTAAAAAAAGGTCCAATTCGTACCCCTAAAGTATTGAAAAATGTCAAACTTGCAATAAATAAAAAATAAAAAAAGAAACAATAAAACAAATAAAAACAATGACTGGTTTTTTACCTATAAGAAATGAAATTTGAACCATTTTTCGTTGGTTCGAGGTGTAAATTGAATTTTTTTAATTAAGGAACTGAATTGAGCTTACACGATCGGTACATGAGCCTCTTTGAGCTTTTAGCTCATTAAAATATTAAATGTATCTCCCTGGTTTATCGGTCCAAACTTGCCCGCACCCTGTCTCAGACTCTCATACCCGCTATGTGTATAGTTGTGAGCTTGACTCAACGGATATTGACCCGTTTATAAAGGTGAATTGGGCAGCCCGAACATGTTAACCTTTTTTAAATCTCGATTTTGCCTTATTGGGCTCGGCTGCTTATAGACTTAAATCTAATAAGGATTCAAAAATTTGATAATATAATCGTATCATGTCCACTTGTTCAATTATTCATTTTCAAATGCATAAAATAATGAAATACCACAAAACCGAAAAATAGTTTTGACGATTTTATTTTTTCTTTTTAGTTTGTGTGAAAACATAAGCGTGTCGTTTAAATATATACATCAAGAGTTGCTCTTTGATTTGGCCTACCCACAATGACACTATTGTTCCTTTGTACGGAGTATTTTGTTTCATTTTGGCCATAACGTACAATAAACAAGAAGCACGTGTGTACCTACCCTAGTTAGCTTTTTTCCGTTCCGTTTTAACGCGTTTTAAACACATACCGTTTTTTTGAACAAAAAAACGCGTTTAAAACGAAAAATAATGTCGGTCCGTTTAAAAAAGAAAAAAACCCCTACTTCCCGTATAAAACGTATTTTTCCCGTATTTGAATTAGTGCATTAAATGCATAGGAGATCAACAATAGCTTAAAAGCAAAAAGGAAAACCTCTCCTCGTGACCCCATGTTTTTGTATTGTTACAATGTAATCATTAATCACTAAAATTATTTGTAGGGCAGCTAAAGCTAGCTTCCTAAAAACCAAAACTTGAAATACTATTGGACTTATGATGTTTTTCCAATCATTCATCATTTTCATCATTTTCATTTACCCTAGTGTCGCAAAGGCTCCCACTTACAGTGGGGTAAGGGGGGTCGGATGTACGCAGTCTTACTCCTGTACTAAAGCACAGAGAGACTGTTTCCGGATGACCCGTAGTGAAAATCGCGTCCAAAATTGCATGGACTGACTGCTGCTTCATAACAAAGAAGCGCAGACAGTTCAGTGAGCCATTTTGCTTTATTCCATCATATTCTTAAGCCAAAAAATAATGAATTTTGGGCTCCATTGCAAATGATGGAAACTGTTTTTCCAATCAATCATATGAAAATTCAAGTTTTTCTAAACCTGACATATTTTTAGTATAAACTTTTACACATAAACAATAATAAGCGTATCAGTCGTACAAGGTACTGTTCTCATATGTCATTCATCATCTTGATGAATATCATGAGTTTGACTTGAGTGTGATTTGATGATCATATAAAGAAAATGATTTTAACTTAGTCTCATTCTATTGTTATTATTCCTCATTTTTTGACTTTATTCTGCAAAATTATATCTTGGACTTAATTACTATTTTTATTTTTTTCATCGACTTATGAAATAACAAATTATTTTTTTATGTGGTAATGAGATTTGCTACTTGAATATGTGTATATTTTTATTTCTTTTTACTATATATCTTATTTTGTGAAGTGTATATACTTTAAATGTTCAAAATAATACCCCGTATTTTTTGTCCGAATTTTTGTAACATATACCGTACTATACCGGTATACGTATTCACATGTTTTTTAAAAGTCAACGTATTTTTCAACGAATTTTTGACCGTCTTTTTCATTCTTGTTACCGAATAAAACACGTACGTATTAAACCACGTTTAATTCCCGTACCGTATTTAACTAACTAGGGTACCTACCTCTGTATGATTCTCGAACATAATTACGCTTTTAAAAATGGGAAAAAGGTCAAATAGGTCATCGAAATTACATAAAAAAGTTAAATAAGCCCTTATAAAGGAGGCTCTGTCCGGCCGTCACCATTTTGGGCGATTCCTGGTGGAATTTCTAAAAAAAAATGAAGGTGAAGTCCATACAAAATGAGTACACCAAAAAATAGTTTGTTGACGATTGAAGCTATTTTTTAGTTGAAAAAGGTTATTTGTACACGAAAATTTATACA